GGGAAAGGGACTTCACGGCTCTACAGTACTATGTTACATAGTCACATGGCTGTAATGAGTTCCAACCCTGCAGCATCTGTCCTGAAATATAGGAAGCTTCCTTTCCTGCAGATGCTAGGCACCTGCTAAGCACTTTAAACACAAAAGATCTCTGTAACTCTAAGATAAGCACTTCGTTAATTCTATTTCACCAAACATTTGGTTGAGCGATTCAAGATCTACATAGCACTTAAGTGGTAGAACTGAGGCTTGAATCCATGACACTCCAATCCTGGCTCTGACCTATATCCATTTATTTCATGTAGCCTTGAAGTTTCCTCTCTACATCAGCAATTTACCTTCTGATTCAAGTTCTTCGGGAAAACATAGTAGAAAAAGCTGCCAATGTTAAGACTACGCTAGAGAATTAAATTTTTTTTTAAAACAGCGCCTTCAAAGATCTACTTTAAAGTCCTTTAATATTTGAAAGCATTTAGATGCTAATGGAGATCCGAGGCATGCAGCCTTTAACTCCAAACAGGAAGCTTTGTAGATATCTGTCTGATACCTGTCAAAGCTTCACTCTTCCTAGAAACTTAAGACTCAAAAATTGCTTTCAAGCTAATTCTCCAGGGACTGTTTCTCGTCTTCTGGGAAAAGAGAATTCATCTGGAATTCATTAGCATTTGCTTCCATTCCTCCTCCTTTAGAAGTAGAAATAGGGCTTATTGAGAAAGAACACATTCCCAAGAACAGGAGTGTGCTAGTGAGCCCAGGGTAAAACCCCACAACAGAATGAGCATTGGAAAGCTAAATAAAAGGTGACAAATTTATAGATTCAAAGTTCTCAGTCTAAAAAAAAAAAAAAAATTTAACCTTAACCTCAAAAATGCCCCCTTTCATCTGAAAATGGCCATTGCCTTTATAAGCCAAGCTCTTTAGAAACTCAGTGTACATGCCAGGCTTTAAAGACTTCCAAGACACACTAGTAAGTCGTCTCAAAAGACACTTTCTTTGAGAAGGAATGGATCGTCAAAGTATGAAAAATAACTCCTATGAACCTAGTCATACAAATTCTGAGCCTGCTTGTAGGCTCAGTACTGTGTATGTGTGAAGTACTTGGAACAACGAGGCAGTGCTTGCTTCTAGGGAGCTGGTGCTTCCATATTCTAAGACTTGAATTACAGGGCTGACCACACAAAAGTAATCATCCAGTAGAGTTATCTTCAAACAAAGAAGAGTAATCCTAGTCACTCACTAGCTGGTCAGCTTCTGAGCACTAAGGGGGATTTGTCTAAAAATGAGACATCTTTCCTTCACTGGAGAAAAATTCCTTTTTAGAGTAATTAAAACCAGGGCTTTATATACGCCAGGTCAATATTCTACCATGACACTTATACTCCCAGGCCTAAGAATGTCCTCTTGTCTCTTTGTTCAAGAACTTGCTGACAAAGTCACAGATATCTCTAGCACCAAATCTTATCCATTGGTTGCTTATTCAAACTGGAGATAAAGGAAGGAAGAAAGAAAGAAAGAAGGAAGGAAGGAGAAAGAAAGAAAGAAAGAAAGAAAGAAAGAAAGAAAGAAAGAAAGAAAGAAAGAAAGAAAGAAAGAGAAAAAGAAAAATCATCTTTAAAAAAAACTAGGTCAAGAACTGAAAAATTAGAGATGTGATTGTATTTCAGTTGGGAGAGTATTTGCCTAAGATGTGCAAGGCCCTGTGCTAGCTCTCCAGCATGGAATAAGCTAAATGTGGCAGTGCACACCTGTGACCCCAGCACCTCAGAAGTATGCGCAAAAGGACCATAAGTTCAAGGTCATCCTCGGGTACAAGTGTGGGGTCAGCCTGAGCTACATGAGATTCTGTCTCAATGTCTAGATCAGTGGTTCTAAACCTTCCTAATGCTGAAACACTTTCATACAGTTTCTGGTGCTGTGGTGACCCCCAACCATAACATTATTTTGCGGCTGCTTTGTAACTGCAATTTTACTACTGTTATGAATCATAGTGTATCTGTGTTTTCCAATGGTCTTAGGTGACCCTGTTAAAGGGCCATTCCACCCCCAAAGGGGTTGTGACCCACAGGTTAAGAACTGTCATTCTAGAGCTACAATTCCCTAACTTAAAATTTATTCTGCTAAGGGTAGGTATTCATCAAGCAAAACCCAGGTAGTTTGACAGTTACATGGAAAGAAATAAACAAATATCACAGATCTCTCAAGATACCCAGCTTTATCCTCTGTGGAATCGCTCTGCATCCATTCAAATTTAGATCCTTCTCCTAATCCTGCCCTAAATAGGATGTTGTTAACATCTGCAGAAGTGTCTCACTTTCCCTCTGGACTGAAACAAGGGATACATTTGAACCGACAGGCTGATAGTATTTAGCCTGTATCAGATTTAAAACTTTTTTTAAAAGAGATTGGGAGCCAAAAAAGAAGCCAACATGGGCCTTTCAACTTCAGCCAGACTTGCTAAAATGTTTACATTTAAAAGGTAATCTTTTAATACCCACCGGAGAAAAATATATGAACTGAAATGAGAAATTTGGTTTTATTCATCCAGGATGAGAGAATCCTTGCTTGTTTGACAAAGACGTGCGTTCTGAAAGGACCTCATTCACATTTATTCTCTGACCTCGGAACAGAGCAGATCCAAAAGGATTTCAACCAAGAAATGTCATGGAACTCAACCTGTCACTGAACATCTCAGGAAACATGAGAGCCAATAAAGGAAACACTCAGTGTGGCAAAGAAATCTCCTCCTGTGTACTAAAAAGTTCTGAATCACTCCTTCTTTCATTTGAATTATTGAGCTGACTGTGTGGGAGGCTGGCTGCCCAGTCAAGTTCGAGGACAAAAGTTCAATTTCCAGATGGGACATTCATTTTTCTGTTTCATGTTTATTTCAAGGGTGGCTACTTTTGGTTTTTTGGTGGTGTTGTTTGTTTTGTTTTTAAATGAGACCTGCCCCTTTGCTCTCTTTCTTGGGGTAAAAGTATTTCCAGACTTTTCCATGATGAAACCATCTTTCTTGCTCCTGGTGCCTTATATGGTTTGTACCATTTTCTTACAGGTGGAATAAAGCCATCAAGTTCGTGCTTTGTTTTGCCATGCGTGCTTGGCCCCCTCTCTCTGGAAAGGAAATACTAATTTCAGAGTATTAAAACAATCTCAAGAAACTTATCTTTCCAGTCTCTGAGATGTCACGGTTTAATGTCAAGAGGAAGCTTTGGAGAGGCTCAGTTTAACAAGTCACTACAGACACAAGGCGATGAAAAGACAAGAAATCACAGCTCTGTTGATCCTATCAAGAGCCATGGCTATTGTAAGGAAGAAAATATTCAAGCAGCTGGGACAGAGCTTGAGCATGTTTTTTTTTTTTTTTCTTCTTCTTCTTCTTCTAATTGTTGTTGCTTTTATTTATCAGCAATGTGATAACCTAGCTCTATATAGAATGCAACAATAGACATGTCTTTAAAAAAAAACCTACATCAATCTTAATTTTCAAGTCATTTGGTATGGACTATACTATCCTGATAATACATAAATGCAGAAGGAAAATGCTGCAGCTGGAAAGAACTGTGGGTTCACTGGGTTTGCATGCTCTGCATGTATAAAGCTATGTGGTTGCATCCTATCAGAAGCACAGAAATAGCTCCAAGGAAGCCAAATCAAACCTGGGAAATGTGTCAACATGACTTGGGGCTGTCCTATATACATGCTATATTTTAAACCCTTGGCAGAATATTTTCACAACTACAAATTAGATAGCCCTGCAAGCTATCAGGGAGAATTCATCCAGGTTTTCCTTGTTTTTGAGTTCTATTCCCCCCTGCATCTTTTCAACTAAATTATGACTTCAAAAATTGCAGCATCGAACTCACTGAATCCCGTCCCTGTACAGGAGCTGAATAAAGACATGTCATTTCTTGAAAACAGCATTCCAGTTCGGATATGTAAAAAATACCAGCCAAGGTACTGTGAAAGTGTCAGGGCTAACGCTGAAGCCAGGCACTTGGAAGCAATTATCTGGGACTCCTTCTCCACGGAAGCATCATCTGCCTTTGTAAATCTCGACCATCCCTTTGATTTTACACAGTGGAAGGTTTGTTCTGCCTTTGAAAGCACATCCTCTCCCTCCACCCCCACAGCATTCTGAACCAGCTGCTGTTAAAACAAGAGTTTGTTTCCTTACTGACAGTAGATCAGTGGTTCTCAGCCTTCCTTAACAGTGACCTTTCAATCTCGTATTGTGCTGACCCCCAACCATAAAATTATTTTCTTTGCTACCTCATACCTGTAATTTTGCTATGAATCTAATGTAAACATCTGCTATGTGACCTGTGTTGATCCCCAGAGGGTCTTGACACACAGTAGCTTTAAGTCATTCCATCCCGATGGGGAATTTAACAACTTAACTAAAGCATGCAGGGTCCGGACTACTCCCCCCAAGAGCAATAAAAAGAGTTGATTTCTCTGCCCAGTATTATTCTCAGTAGGAAATAAAAGTATTATGACTCCTTGTTCTTCAAAATATTTATAAATTATTTTCGGAGTACGACTACGACAAAGCGCAAGGCTGAGAAAACGTGCTGAGCTGAGTATGCAGAGGTTTGGGTGAAGGGTATGGGATCCTGAACAGGGCTGGAAATACCATTGAGTTAAGTGAAGATCCCCCAACACATTTTAAATTTGAAACATCAGACTCCCTGGGGCCTGCCCCTCTCCACCACTTGAGCCCTGCTCTCAGCTCCCAAAGGATTCATTAAACTTTCCCACACAGTTGCTCCAAGCTCCCTGCCCAGCAGAGCCTCTCACCTTATGAAGCCATTCACTGTGCTTTCAGCTGGATAGTCTTGAAATACTTTGAGATCCACTCTCATTCTCAGTGATTTCTTTTTAGAAAAGCAAAATCTTGACCACCAGATTTTCATAATTATGCATTCTGACCCATTAGCTTAAAAAAAAAAAAAACAAACCTGCACACACTACATATCTAAGAAACAGACCTTAAAGCGTGAAAGTAATATCAGAATTTAATTTCAACCTCTTCAAATACAATGAAAGAGTCGACTTTCTGAGAGTGCCCTACGGATGAATCAGTTTTTATGTTTGCCCCCTCCACCAACCTGTTCCTTTTTCTTCTCCAAGATTAGGGCTTACTAGGAAATAGGTTTCTGAAAATAAAGTTTCATTGGGGGAGGGGGGGTGGCCTACATTCAGAAATGTCTTAGTACAGGCATAAAAAAAAACTAATAAATAATCATAAACCAAAATACATTAAAAATAAAATTACAGTACATAAATTTCTCCTACAAGGTCCACTGCGTTAGAAGATCCTTCCGAAGGTTCATAAATAAAGTCATCTTGACTCAAAATTGCTTCCTGCACTGTGGTGAAGATTATGCAGAAAACTAAGAGGAACTGCGAGCAAGTTGTCAGTCGGGTGATGTCCGAGCTACTTGATCTGGCACGGGGTGGGGAGACTTGATTTTGATCCCAGGTGAACACAACAGCAACGCACGCGTGCCACTTCCCGAAGTCCTCAAAACCTGGAAAGAAATGACACGGAGTGAGATGTCTGCCTCACAAGTCAAGACCCAATTCCCTCCCGGCCGCTCCAAAGGGTACAGCGTCTAGAAAGACAGCAGGTCGTTACCTTGGCGTGGAGGCACACAGTTTAAGTGGGCACTGAACAGGGACCACCTCGGTGGTGGGAAGGTGGCCTAGCCACCGCGCCCGCTCCCTGGCGGAACTCCTGCCCTTCCCTCCCCCCTCTATTAGCTCCAGCCTGCCCCATCTTCCTGCCGCCTCTCCAGAAATTTAAAACGATTTTTCGTCTTTGCCTGGAGAGCAGAACCGGTCAACAAGCTTTCTACTCTTCCCAACAACCATGCGAACACGTTTCTAGGTGTCCCAAGCTGCCTGGACCTTACCTTGAGCGGCCCGGGTGCCGCCCTCTTCAGGCAGAGTTGGAGGTGCTGCGGAGAAGCCGGTGGCCGTGCGGCTGCGAGTGAGGAGGCTGGTGCGCGTGCTGGAGTTGGTGTGGATGAGGGTGCGGGTGCGGGTGCTGGTGTGGGTGCGGGTGCGGGTGAGGGTGGGGATGAGGGTAGGAGTGGAGCTGTTGGGGCTGGGGCTGGGGCTGGATCTGCGGCTGGGGCTGAGGTTGAGGCGGGATCTGCGGCTGGGGCTGGGGCTGGGGCTGGATCTGCTGCGTTTGCGGAGGCTGCTGCTGGACCAGGTGCTGCTGCTTCTGCCTCGTAGACTTGACCGCCAGTATGGCCTGACGATTTTTGTACTGCACCATCTGCAACGTGATCTCCGCGTTCCAGCCCTGGTCCTGGGGGCATCGAAAGTCGATCTCTTTGCCCTCTGCCATCACCACAGTGAAGTACATATACTTGCCCTTGCGCTCCACGCAGTCTACAGTCTTCATATTGGAAAAGTGCAATTCCTTGAGCTTGACCGGTGGCTCAAGGCTGGCGACGGCGGGGCCACTAGGTTGGGACTGTTCGGCTGTCCCCTGCCCGGGCTGCTGCTGCTGCTGTTGCAGCTGCTTGGGCGGTATGAGCAGTAGCCCTTCCTCGGTGAGGATGCAGCACTTTTTCTTCCAGAGCTGCAGCAGCCCGTCGCTACGCTTTTCCAGCACTCCTTCCTTCAGCGCCTTGCAGCCGCTGCTCTCCAGCATCCTTCCGGCATAAGGGGTGCAGCTGCTCCGCTCGGCCTTGAGGTTTTCAGACGCTGGGGCTGGGGGCAGCAGTAGCAGCCGCGCGCCGTCCTCGCCCCAGCGGCTTCCGCGGCCGCCCGCCCGGAGCGCGCAGAGGAGGCTGACTCGCAGGAGACAGAGTGGCGGCGGCGGCGGCGGCTCGGGGTCCCGGCAGAGGGACAGCCGCGTCCTGAAGCGCCACAAGATCCCGGAGCCGCGAGCAGGCTGCTCTCCGCCGTCCTCCCGCGAGCGCTCACTGAAGGGCACTGGCCGGGCCCCCTCGCGGCGCTTTTCAATGGGCCACCCTCCCCACCCCCGAGTGACACCCAGCGGAAAAGGCGGCTCCTGGCGCCCGCGCCGCGGGGAAAAACCCAGCTCCGAGAGGCGCTCGGCGGCCGGCGCTCGCCTCATTAACTTGGGGCCTTCCCAGAGCCCGCCCGCCGCGGACACGCCCCCGCCCCTGGCTCCGCCCCCGCCGCCCACGGCCGCCCGCGCGCCCGGCTCCGGAAACTCCTGGTGGCTCCACGCGGTCGCGGAGGTGGCCGCGGCTGCCGGGCTGCGACCAATGCCAACGCCCAGAGGGCGCCAAAGGCCGTCCCGCTGCCCCGCCCTGCCCTGGCGGGTGGGCTCTCCGAAGCCGGGAGGAGCAGCTGCCTGGGGAGACTGCCTTAGGGTTTGCGGGGAGCCGGGTCCAGAGGGGATGAAGCTCAGGCGGAGCGCCGGGTGACTCTCGGAGATGCCTAGGTAAACATCTCGGGAACAAAGCCCTGGAGTGCTTCCTACTTTTTGTTGTTCAATCAGTAGTTCTTCCGGAAGAAAATTAGATAAGTCAAAACAGTAAGGCTACCAGTTGGATGTAGAGGCCGGGCAAGAAGTGCGGACTCCAGATATAATCTTGACTTTTCTCCACCACAGGGCACAGGGAGAGCCAGACTCACCCACACCCCCCACCCAAAGCTGATGTATATGCGCGTGCACGCGAGCGCCCACGCATTGGAACGCAGGTCATAAGTCACCAGGTCCCTTGAACTGGAATTTAGGTTGTGAGCCACCATGGGTTCTGGGAATTGAACCAGGGTCAAGAGGTGCACTTAATTGCAAAATCACCCATTTTTAAGCCCCTCAGGTTTCTTTCTTGATCAGACCTTTGTGGATGTGACACCTATTGGAATCTGACTTTGGGAAGGTTCTACTTCCATTTTTTGCATCTAAACATTTCAGAGACGCTGCTTCCCACTAAGAATAAAAGAGTTCTACCCTCCAGTTTGGCAAAGTAACCTCTAAGTCTACTCTCACAAAGGGACAGGACAAAACGGTCGTGTCTGTTGGACAGCCAAGGACTGCTGCCACAGTGCGAGGGAGTCAAGGATGCAAACAAAGTGTAAGATAAACTACTCAAATTTCTTGTGAGCCACGCTACGAAACCCAAACAATGAGAGGTAACAGAAATGTCTTTTCTAAAACAGGGTTCTTGAACATTGTTCCAAATGATATATATGAACTAGTTCCAAACTAATTCTGAGTCCTTGAAACCAAGAGAACTGTGTAAAGATTTCGAATGTGATTATCTCCATGCTCTGAGTAGATTTCTAATTTCGATTACTAAACATCTTGTTCATTCCTCCCCCACGCCCACCCCCAGTTTCTGCAGTACCAGCTGTCCATCTTTTTAACAGAATGGCATCCTGTCTGGAAAGGACAACACAGCCATAGTTCTAGAGTTGATACATTCATATAGAGCTGATACAGACATTCATAGAGATAATCCATATAATCCAGTTTGCCAGAAAAGGACATTTATTCTATTAGACATACAAACGCCCAGCCAACATAGATGTCAAATGTGACCACTTAATTCTGACTAAAGATTTTAAAATTCCGTATTTCCCTTCGGTTACTTCACAATTTGTATTTTTGTGGTAAGCTAGTAAGTTTTCATTGACAAAAATTAGTTTGATTATTGGAGATTTAAATTTCAGAACTCTGTAGATTGAGGAACTCTTGCTCAGTTCATTTAAATAGCCACTGTTACCGCCCCCAATGAACTGGCTATATCAGGCTTTAAAAAAAAAAAAAAAAATCTAAACTAAAAACCCCAAAGATAAATTGTCAGGGAACACATTTCAGGAAATTGTCATTATAAAAAAACGCTTCCCTTTACATACTCAACTTGCCTTTGAGAACAATCATTTCATCTGTCTAGTACATCCAAGTATTCGTTGCCAAAGAATGAAAGAGACTAAAGTTAATGACTTCCCCGGTGGAATTGGTTTAGTAAGGGCTTGTGGCCCAGTACCTCTCTCTATGCAGAGCCCTGCGCTTTAGGACTGCATTTCAAAATCTACTCTGGACACTCACTACATACTCCAAGTACCCCATCTTATTGGCATCCATACAGTTCCAGGGAACGAAGGAATGCAGCATCTGTGTACTGGATAACTCAGTGTGCAGGTAGCTTCTTAGATGAGGTGAGAGTGGGGAACAAAGTGGTGTGGGCTACAGACCAGTTGTGCACAAGCTGTGTTCTGCCATAATCCTTTCCAGTTTGAGTGTCACTTTCAAAACTACTGAAAAATATTAACACTGCAAATGTGTTAAATACAACCACCTTGCACCACTCCACCCTACCAACATCTGGCTAGATCCTATTTTATTCAAACTATCTCCACAGCTCATTACCCCATCCATCACCATCCTAACTCCATCTACCCTATGTTACCAAAATAGCTACTATCTTCCAGTTTTGCGTTTTTTCAGTTTAATTTTTTTAAAAAGTACAATTCAAGATGCCATACCACTATGCACTTGGTCTATCTTTAAAATAAACCACAACACATTATTCCCGAAATCCATATAAAGTGAATCCCACAGGTCTTTTGAGTAATGTTGTGAGGCATTTATATACCAGCATCCCAATGCCTGGAAAACTAATGAAAAGGTTTAAAAAAACCCATTGACAAGGACTGATTAAATGATTCAGAGGTTAAGGGCACTGGCCTTGAAGGCCATGGCCCACATGCCACCCCCACTACCTGACCAAAGATACAAATTCTTTAAAAATTACACCATGAAAATGTCAGGTTAACTGTCAATGTTTAAAACAAATAGTCCCACACTCATAAAAACAAAGATTTCCCAGCCATTTCTTAGTTTTGAGGAAAAAAAACCCCAAATTTCTAAGTTAGTCAATTTTCAATATAGACTTCTCAGTTAGTTCTAGTTTTGGCAATACTGGCTGGTGAACTGATGCCTCCTAGCGACCAGTTTGTGTAACACAACCAACTGCCTCAGAGCAAGGGAGGCTTACTGTTCTCAACTGTTACAGGACTGCAGATAGAACCTCACCTTACAGCACCCACATACTCGCCACTCACCCACTCTTCTGTGTATGGGACAAGCAGTGCACAGACCAGCTTTGTGCCACCCCTGACTTTTTCTGGGCACGGGATGTAGTGCCTTGTATGGCTGGGCAAGCACTCCACTAGGGAGCTAGAATCTCCAACCACCACCTCCCCATCTAATCTTACTTCCTATCAAATTCTTATCAGAAGCAGGCAGGGCAGAACATGTCTTTAATCCGAGCCCTACTGAAGGAAGCGCAGGTCCCACCTGTGAGCTGACCAACCCAGTCTACACAGTGATGCTGGCCTTCACAATGACTTTCTGAATAAAGATAAAAGCAGCGGTTAACACGTTCTATTTCACTAAACATCCAAGTAACTGTTTAAGCCGCTTCAATCTAAATGACAGCAGCTGTTAACTGTCATTGTAAGTTCTCCTTCACAATTCATACCAATTCTGCTCCAACCAACCAACCAACCTCGCCATAATGCTGGAAGCACCAAGCACGTATCTCAGAAGATAGCCTCAAAGGCTAGGAGACTAGATCAGTGTCACACTGAGACAGTGAAATTGGACTCATTTTCCTTCTGTCTTCTCTGGATACTAGCAAACATCAAAAGCTTTCAATTAGTATTTATGTGCAAGACTGGCCTTTGAAACCACTAAGTAAAACTCTAAAAACTATGTAAGTTCTAGAATTACCTTCCAAAGCATGTTCAAAGTAAAACAACTAAAGTTTACTTGTGTTGACAGTGTTTAATTCCATGATTATATTATATCAGGTTCTAGATGTACTTTATTAATGCTGACATGACAACTGGAGTCATTACCAATGACCTAGTCATACCTGGCTATTAAAAGCTTCATGGTACAATCATTCAGGGTTGCATGGTTTTAATAAAAAATTACATTTCCCCATTTCATTCATATTATTCCAACACAGGAACTAAACTTCCTCAACAGTGTCTCAACATATACCACTTACTGGGGGAAAAAAAAACAGCCTGCAGTCTGTATTTGTCCTATCATTCTACTCTTCTAATTTACCTACCACCTGGGCTGATTATGTTTATAAGGGGTGCATGTATGCCTGGTGCCAGAGAAGCCCATAAGAGGGTGCTAAATCTCCCCTTAACAGGAGTTATGTAAGCCAATGGTATAGGCGCTGTGAGGTAAATCCAGGTCTTCTGCAAGAGCAGCAAGTGCATCCCTCCAGACGCAGGCTACATTTCTAAATAGGAGTCATTCCCCACTCTAAGAAATGAAGAATACTTTTTAAACAATATTCCCACATCACTTTTTTTCTATTTGAGACAGTTTCCAATGTCCTGGAACTGTGTAGTCCAGACTAGCCACAAACTCACACTCTGCTGGAGTAAAGGCATACACCACCCCAAAATGAAGAAGAGACCTATCATGAGCCTAGAAAACTTTGCAAGCCTCTTTATTCACACACACACACACATAAACCAAAAGCATATAGGTACTACCAATTAAGCCTGAGATGATGTAATTACAAAAACAAATTGAAATTTCATTTTTAAGATTTTAAAAGCTATTAGCTGTAGCCTAGGCTAGATTAAACATCCGAGTGCTGGGACTGCCCAGGGCACTCACTCCAGGCTGTTGCTTCATCAGGCTCACCACTTCTCTGCTCACCTCCACTCATCTCTGCATTCCACCTCTTATATGAACCTAGAGCAATTCAATCACACAGTACGCTGGTGTGGTTCCTCTAGACAAATGACACATCCCCTGCTCATCTTCAAACACCCTAGCCACAAGTTTTTATTGTGACAGAAACTACCAAGCTATAGCCATTAAATAAACTGTTGGGTTTTTCACTTGCATTTGCACCAGTTGTTCCCAATTCCTTTTCTTAAACACCAGCTTTATTTGAAACTTAAAGTCTATTAATGACTCACTTCCTGCAATTTCTTTCTGTTCAATTTCTCCTGATATCAAACAATCTGTCAACACTTTTCGAAACTAGGATGTCAAAATGAAACACTGGCTGCACAGTATGTTGCAATCAGAAAGACTTCTGAAACAAATATCTTTAAATAAAAATCATTTTTATAACAATGCTTACATATCGCTAAAATCATGTAATAAATCTTAACTAGTACAAGAACTTGTTTTGTTTTTAGCCCAGGTTAGTTTAATGTCTGGGTTTGTATAACTAGTAGACACAAAATCAACACATCTGTTAATATCAGTATTGTTTTCCACCACCAGATACATTTAGTTCAGAGATTTATAGACTTAGTGGTTTAAGTGGCCACTTACCTAATACTTTTAGCATTAAGGATATATGCAGTGCAAAATAAAAAAAATTGATTAGCACATCTATTTGTTTTGCCAAGTTCCTATAGAGTATGCTTCTTCTAAATTACATATTCTGTAAACCTAAAATATTTGGTTTAATTTAAAGTCAAAATAAAGGCTAAAATTCTCATTAGACTAACCAATAGAAATAGACTACATTGTTAAACCAAGTACTGAAATCACAGTATTTCTTCATTAGATGTCATATTTCTGCATAGCAAGATAGTTTTCATAAACAGCTGTTTTGTCAGTAATCTTTAATGGGAATAACCTTTAGCTCACACAACCTCTAAATTCTAATGTTTTACAGTAATAAAAAATTTAATTCAGGTACCTCAAGGCTTTTATCATACACACCAACCACTGTCACTAAAAACGTATCAAAACTAATGTCTCCTTTCTTATGTGAGTTTGTGAATTAGCTCAGAAGCAGCATCCAATTTTTCTGTTGCCAACTCATGTGCAAATAATACATCTTTCTATGTACGAAAGTTAATATTCTGCTATGAAGAGCTAGCTGCATAAAGTACCCTAAAAAGCCAGACAAACCTTCCAGACATTCAAACTGAACTAAACCAATTGTGAGACACTATTCTGCAAACCTACCACACCTGAAAGATCATGGGTCTTCAAAGCCATAAAGAAGTATTCAGGGCTTCCATCATTTCTTGGAGGGGGGAAAAAAACCTGACACCACATGAGTAGGATATTTTAATCATTAAAACTGTAAGATCAGAACCATGAAAAAGTAGATAAGAAAAACCATGTAATTTCTTTCTCTCCATGTCACAAGCTTGATTTGTCTAGTTAGATCATCTTAAAACTAATTTTAACAGGTTAAAGTGGCTTAAGGACACAATTAGAGGCTTTCCAACCTTCAAAGTTATGTAGAGTTGTAAAAACTTCAAATATCACCAGTATATTTTATAAAATTAGATCGAATTTTATTAAGGATTTCAGATTACATATTTCAGACTTCTATAATGGGTAGAACCATTTGGGAACTGAAAAATGTCATAATGAACAATGACCCCCTTGAAGCTCCACAAAGTGTATTCCCATTATACACAAAGAACCAGTTACCTCTTCACTTTGGCAACAGCTACTTCCTAAGGAAGAGAAAATAAAGACTGTGCTAGCTCTGCAAGGTCACTAAAAATGGGATCTGTCTTTAGGTTACAAACTTTAATGTTCAAGAAAATAAGCTGTGTTTAAATGAACTATGATTACAGAAAACAAAAATAGCACAAACCATTTAAGAAAAAGCAACCAAATCATTTTCAAAATAAAAAATAATTGGTTAAGGACTTCCAGTAGTTAAAAAAAAAAATAATCTCAAGAAGAAGTCAGCTATAGAATGTGTCTGCATTCCAGGACTTAGTATTCCAATACTAAAATCTCACAAAAAGAACTATCACCTCCAAAAAGAAAACCTTGATGCAAATTTTATTAACAGCAGGAACTATAGACATTCCTCCAAGTACAATCCAATTAATATACCCTGTCCAAAAAAAAAAAACAAAAAATTCCTCCCCCAAAATGAACAGTAATTAGCCTGAGGTATTTCAAATGTGGCTCTCAGTGGTCTAAAACTTAATGCCCCCCCCACTACAATGGCCTCATTACCACCTTAGGATTTATAACAATGTGGTCACTTGGAATACGCAAAGGGGGATGGGGAGAAGCTAAATCAAAAATCCTGAAACCTTTCAGTCTCTTGAAGTCATACACTGACTTCATTCCCACTAGCATCGGAGCCACATGCTCAGATCGGTGTTTAAACTTCTTTCTCCAGTTTAGTTATCAAAGCTTGGTGTGAATATATAACACTGAGCATCACACTCTGAATACATGTAATTTTTTTTTTTTTTGAGCATTTTAAGACTGAGACAGTTTGTAAGATTTACCCCAATGTGTCTTAACACAGCTGTGAGGTAGTTGAATCCAGCGCCACCCATTCTTTTTACACACAGTAAATGGCATGGCCAATCACACACTACACATCCTTCGGCACTGAGTATTAGAATGGACAAGTTAAAAAGATATTTAGTTCTAGTAAAACGGAATTTAACCTATTAAAGTATCACACATCACTTGTCACTTTTTTAAAAAGCACATACATACTACGCACTCCAAAGCTGTTCAATATAGAGAACTAGGCACCCCTGAACTCAAGCTAACTCTCTGCAAGAGCCTCAATCAGGACAAACTGAGACATCATCCTGTGAGAACTAAAACTGTGTGACATTTTTATTTTAGGCTATAAAAACAAAATTAGGCAAACAAACAACATAAAAACTCAAAATAGGTTCAAATGATGTAAAGTCATCCTTTCCACGAAAGCAGAAGGTAGGCCCTACCACAAAAAAAAAAAAAAATTTCAATTAATGGAGGTTAATTTTCAAAGTACATTAAATACTATCAATTAAACTCTGAAGAGAAGGTAGTTTTTCTTCACCTTGACTTTTGTTATATCGTTTAACATAAACAAATCCCTTAATAATCTGTTTTTAAGTTTGATCTTCCTGGAAATTAACCACAATTCTCCTTCCTCAAATGATGCTATGCTGCGTGAGTCACTTGTATCTTCTAACATAACGGAAAGCACAGCTAATGAAGGCAGACCCTTCTACCAGCTGAAAGCAACTTTGGTTCTTTAGGAAAGAAACAGCTATACCAAACAATGTGTTTGACAGTTATTTTCATAATTGTATTCCAACAGCTACATGAAAATATTCCACAAGAACCAAAACGCAGCAATAAATGAACATGCATTACAGAGGATTTTTGCACTCAACATATCTGACAGAACTATAATTAGCATTACTATGTAGAACAACTTGGTCTTTAAAATATCAATTTCCTTTCTTTTAAAAACTTACTGATTCTACCAAGAAAATACAAAAACATAAGGCTGTAAGTAAATGAGTCGAGTTTAGGCTATTACAGGGTAGGCCGTCCTCAAGGCCAGACATTGTGCTTCACTGCTGCTTGCACTCTGCGGGGTTTTGATCCTTCTGTTAAAGGAAAACAATATGTCAATCTATCAACTACCTACTTTGATAAATTTTTCAAACAGTATTTACTTTAATTAGCACAGTATAAAGTCTTGCAAAAATTATAGTGAAGACAGAAAAATATGGAAGAGTGGTAATTTAATGTTAGCAAGTCACTCAAGTATACAATAAAGCCTTATTATCTGAGGTAATCTATAATCATAAAATAACCAGTGTTAGACATTGTCAATTTTTTACTTTTACCTTTTTATTTTCAAAAATACTAATTTATGATGCTAAGCCATATCTATCAAAATATTTTTTTCTTTTTAAAGTCCCTCATACTTGTTTAATTCAAGCACCCTTCTAATGTTTTACAGCACGTGATAGATTAAAGAAAGGAAATCCTAGGCTTCAAATAAATCCTGGAAATTATTACATACTTTGAAGGAGAAAAAGCTTTTAGTAACCCAAATTCCTAGGCGTTACAGACTAAGGCCTTCAGGCATTAAACAATATAATAATAATAACGATTGGGAGATTCCAACATAGAACATCACTGGAATTCAAAGCACTCCTGCATCCACATCTCCCTTTAGCTGACATAGTTTGTTGCTCAGAAAACAATCTAAGCAATGAACTTTTAATGCTATTTTTTAGAGCCAAATCCCAAGCAATTAAATGAGTAATTAAAAAGAATTTCTCATCTACTCGTACTTCATCCTAAGTTAAATTTAACAGAAACAGCACTGTTTTTGCTCACCTTTGGGTCATAGTCTGGATCATTTTCCTCATCTTCTTCTTCCCCTTCCTATATTAAAGTTCAAAATGCATCCATGAAGTAAGTACATAACAGAAAAAAACTGGCTCATAATGTATGGAATTTTTAATACAAGTTACTCTATGGGTCAACAGATTTTCATGATTACAGAGTTTGTTGATAATACAATTTAATTTGAAAGCTTCTAATATGAAAAATTTCCCAACACAACTTGAGACATCCAGACAGCTTTTATTGAAAAGATTTACTGCAGCCAACGTTGAAAAAGTTTACTGCAGCTTTTGACTTCTTCAAAGAGCTGATAACCCTGCAGCAGAACAAAATTATTTGAAATAAAAAAAAAAAATGTTGCTGAGTTTTGCAATTTATTTATTGAAACCTTATACATACATTGTTTGGCTGTAGAATTCTAAAATCGTATTTTCCAAAATTTAACCAAATCACAGAATGATTATATCAAAGGAATACATTAATCACTCAATTTATTCCTCAAAGTGTCATACAGGGAAATATTTGCTCATTTGGTAAACATTACCTCATCAGCTTCTTCACCTTCTTCATCATACTAAAAAGAGAAACAGGTAAAAGTATGAATGAGTAACAAGTGAGTATAGTAACACTCATAATTTGAACATTAAAATAACTACCGAAACGTTACCAAACTCTGTGCTCTGAAGACCCTATACCAGCTATACAAAAATATTACCATGAATAGTTAAGAGTTCTAGTTTTCATGATATCAAAATATAGTAAATCTAACAGTAACTACATTTCACCAACTCAGAACAATTTTTCTAACAGAAAAAAGAAAACTAAGGTATTGAATCAAGATTTAGAAAAGCTACCTAAAGGATTAGCTTCATTATGAATTGTTCTGTTCTACTTTTATGAAGCAATAAATCTAACCCTTTATCAATTTGACTATAGTAACCGAACAAACAATTCCAACACAGGATCCAAATGTACTCACATCATCGTCATCATCCTCAATAGCTTCTCCAGTAAAGTATAACACTGATCTTGGGATTATACGCTCACGTAAGAAGTGACCAATTTCAAAGTCTGCAGCCAGTATAGCTTCAGCATCATCATCCTATTAAAAAAAATAGTAATTGCCAGCTTAGGTTGGCATGGGGGAAAACTTCAACTATGGTCTCCTTTCACTTGAAAATAAGCTTCCACACATGTGCATAGACCAAGCAAACAGCCATCTGTGTTGGATATGCTTGTTATACCTAGAAATAAGTTAGCAGGCCAGCATGCACATTATATAGGACTTCTTTGAAGACAAAAGGGAAAAACAACTTTGCTACATGAGGGCAATCCTTTGAAAATATTGAAATGGCTAGAAAGCAGGTTAACGCTCAGTGGTAATGCTGTCTACTCTTGCAGAAGACCCATGATTCAGTTCCCAGCACCCACAAAGCTATACCTTCCATCTTCTGACTCAATGCAGGCATCAGGCACACAAATGGAACATACACACATGCTAACAAATATTAATGCATATAAAGCAATACTGAATCCTTAGCACTCGTGGTAGGACATGCCTTTAATCCCAGCACTAGAGTCAAGTGGATCTTTCTGAGTTCAAGGCCAGTGAGCCTGGTCTAAATAACTGAGTCCAAACCTGCCAATGCCACAGTGAGCCTGATTTTAAGGGTGGGGGGAGGGGAGGGAGAGGGGAAGATAGCTGCACCCAGCTCATATTGTTTAATTGGACCTAGTTCTTTAACTTCTTGTGTAAAATAAATTGAATAAACTCAACTCACCAGATCTCCATTCTCAGGAACTGCAAAAGAGAAAAATAAATAAATTAATTAAACTGTTTACAGTGAAAACCCATCAATAACCTAACCCTGACTAAGACACTACTTACCTTCAGGAGGAGCAAAAAAATTAAAGAAAGAATCATTGGAAACTGTTTTAGTCACAGTACGAACTGTCCCACGTCCCTTGTGTTTCTGCTTCTTTTTAATGGTTTTCAAAGTAACATTCTTTCCTTTTTTCCAATCTATCTGGCACCTTAGTAAACAAAATACGTACTCTTTTAGTATTTTAGTATACTTGATTGCTAGATTTTTACAAGTTTAAATGTCAAAGTAAAATTTTAGAGGATAACTGGCTTAAAAAGCAAAAGTTTACTAAATAAAACTTCAAAATCTGTAATTTACAGTAGCATTATCACATGATATAAAGTATGTGAATAGTGTATTGTATTCCTTCCCACAAAGCTACATTATAGTCAGACCAGGGGAAAATGGCAAAGACTAAAATGTCTGACAACATATAAATCCAACAGGCTACAGAAGGGAATGCAATATTGAAAAATCTACCTACAATTCAAAACAAAACACATCAGTTCAATTAACTCACCCTGTACAACCCATAATTTCTGGTCCATCAAAAGAGAAGGGATCAGAATCATCTGGTTCTGATCTCATCCTGTAAGTCTTTGTTAACACTTCATTTGTGAAATATTCATTGGGTTCAAAGTGAAACTCTAAGATAAAACTCTTTAAAAGAAAACAAAAGTGAGTTAAGTTCTTAAACCATGAATTTTCAATGCATTAGCAAACAGCTAGACCTGTGATTTTTGATAAGCATACACCAAAGTCTAATGCTTTTTTCCTCCTTCTGGAATATAAGGTAACAGGGATATAAGGTGAACTTCTACTTCTGATGAAGGCAAAAATAAAATGAAGGCACAGGATAAGATTTCAACTTAAAATTATCATTCAGGTTAGGTAAATTAAAATAAATGACCAAATGTCCTTCCATCTCTCCAAAGGCCATTTTCAGATATGGGATCAGGGTTGATCCTCAATTCAACCTTGAAAAGACTCAAACTTAAGACTCTGTAAGCCTTTCTTAATAGTGTGCCCATGGCCAGCAAAGGAGGGGTTCCTAGCTGAGCTCTCTCCTCATGCAAGCCCTCAAGCACCATCTGCCTGAAGTCATTGGCAGGCAGACACCTTTAATAGTTCCCTTATTATATTTTATCCACTTTAATCGAGGATGGCTATCTGTAATTTCAAAAAGCTTAAATTCCCCAAGAAAGGGGTTAAGCACAGAATCACAAGCACTAAAACCAAATATGCACATACTTGAGGGAGTACTAGTGTCTGCTTTAATCCCTTACTGCATACCTAACTCTTGAATGTCATCTTTAAAACTTATCTATAAAACATATGACAAAACTAAATATTTAAAAGTCATTTACCATAGGCTGGCCAGCATCCGAGAACTTCACTTTAATATCTTTCAAGTGTTTTAGAATAGGTTCATCATGTTCCTTCAAATTAAAAGAAAAATTAGTATCTAATTTGGTATTTTAGGGTCAATATCCTGTTACCACAAAACAAACTTTTGACTGAAGGCAATGTCTGTTTTATAAAGTAACTATGAACCCTAAAACTTCTTCATTAGATTATGGTTTACACGGAAGTTACCTCATACTGTGGTTTTTCAGCATACTGACTGACCAGTGAAAAATACAACTCTGAAAAGGGCTATGTTTACTTTTAAAATGTTTCCTGATTGTGTCTTGTGCATTTTCAAATTTTTGGTTCCTTTTCTACTTTGGCAAAGCAGAAATGCAATATGCACATTACTGAGACCATTCCTTTCTGTCACAGTTAACTCCCAGCAATAACAAGATAGGGCAATCAATACCACACAGGTTGGCAATGAAGAGGCAGTTTCTCAAAGATGGTAACATCTGTGTTGGTTTTCCAAGGAATAAGACATTGTGAATTGGTTAAATAGCTTTACGTTTTAAGATGCAAATTGCCCCTGGATGAACAAATTTCAAACTGAAAATTTTTGGGCAATACAAGCAAAACACTATTCCTTGATACTAAGCATAAGAAAACAAGGCATTGTAAACCACGCGAAAGCACCAATGGTCAATAACCAAATATACCAATCCATTAATAAATTTTTAAAATACTGATTAATTAAACCTGAATTCTTTCTACATAAAACTATAAATAAGCCAAAGAAAGAAATCAATAAATTTCAAAGACTTTTTTTTTAGGTAAACATGTAGTCTTTTCAATTACCTGAACCATATCACTGAGCAAATCAACGTTCTTAAAAACTGTCAACCAAAATTCAGGAATTCCTTTAGGGTCTTCTTTTTCTTCATCCTTTTTCTCATCTTCAATTTTGGCCTTTTCTTTCATTTCCTCCTTGAAAAACGACAGCGAACAACTGAATGAATATATTACGTCTTTTGATAAAGTTATACACACCCTCTGTAGACAGTACCCTAGGAATAAAAACAATCGACACTCACTAACTTTCAACCCTCGATCAACAAAGTTCTAGTTTAACTGTGTAAAAACTTTTGTCACTCATTCCAAAACTACAATTCCACAAAAATCAATGCTCTCATAACCCCCTTAGAAAGAACCACCATCCAGATCAAGAGCTTTAGGAACATCTTAAAAAAGCAGAACAAGAGTCAAGAACAAGATTTTTGACCATACCAAACAGAAACCCATCCAGTGGTCAGCCTCTGAGATCAAAATACTATACAAAGCACATCCTCCCAAAAGTAGCAATGCGAAAGAAAGAAGCATGGTCACATAATGTAACGCTAGACTTCTGTCACAGCTGTTGATATTTACTGCAGGCTACTCACTTGAACTGTCCTTCACCAGTCATCAATAGTTCAAAGGAAAACTACATGAAAAGTTTTAAATATCGTAATGGTAGACGATAGGGTAGACCCTGGTAGACGATACCAGGCTTACAAATGGCTCATCTATATTTTCCACTCACCAAAAAGGACATTTCCTAAGTTTAAGAACACTGTTGACACCTAGCACTTACAAAACTGATTATATAATACCATATGCCACCAGAGTGCTATTTCTGAAAACTACTAACGGTCCCATCATCTAAAATTAAGTATAGGAGACTACCACTGGTACTAACCGAAACTTCATCCTCCTCATCTGGTTTCCATTCACATTCTTCTTCTGTAGGTTCATAAATTGCATTAATGATCTCAAATCGCTAAAGTAATTTAAAAAAAAAAAAAGAGCTTGTGTGAAAACATTAGCACTCAACACTTAACACTACTGGTTCTGATTAAGGATTCAAGACTTAGTAAGTAAATACTGCAACTTTTAATACTTGCTATTGATGGTTTCACAAATACCAATTCCATGGAGATATTTAAGTATCTGCAAGTTTGCTTTCCTGCTTTAGTTTAAAAAGTAGGATATAATTACCTTATCAAATAAAGGCTGATAGAGAACAGCGTACTTCCTCTCAAGATCATGAACTTCCTCATAGAATTTGGCTTCTATCTGTGCACATTTAACTTGAAGATTTTTGAGAGCATTCACCCGTCTTTTGACTACCTTAGGCAAGCTGAAAGTTTAAGAAACAATTCCATAAAATCATAGAAAAACACAAGTCATACTTCATACAAATTAAAACTCAAGTGGGTAAGCTTCTGAGTTGAAGCAAGAAATTTAAAATAACTAAACTTCAAAATAGGTAAACAGGCCCTTTAATTATAAAAGCAGGTAAATCAAGAAGAAAGTAGACATACCCTGAATCCAGATTAAATTTTCTTTCCAAATTTTTGTAAAATAATTCTTATCTAACCATTAAAGTAGTTAATATTAGGGAATTAACACTTTCAGCTAGATCTGTTTTCTTTTCTTACAATTATTTCTGTACAACCCTAACAACTTAAGTTGGATTTCCCCAAAATTTGCAGTAGAAGGGAGACAGGAGCATCAGAAAGCTACATAGTGAGCCTGAGGCCAGATTAGTCAAAACTGGATTGATGTCTCAAAACAAAAAGCTGAACTTAATTTACTTAACTTTAACTTATGATACCAAATAGAAAGACATACACATTCAAACTAAAAGCTAGAATGTATCTAATGTAGAATAAAATATGTGTAGTCAAAGAAACTACAAAATAGAGACATGAGTAGATATACACACAAGCCATTAACATTCCATCTTTTAAACTTATCCTTCCTAGAAACTTTCAGACCAAGGAAACAGAAATACAACACAGAATTACTACAAAGAAAGACAGCTTAAACAATACAATCACACTTGAGCTATAACATCATGATGTCTTCTTCACTCTGCATTTAATTTTTATTATTATTGCACAGTTGGAGGAGCTGTGCAAGTTCTTTACTCTTCTATGAGTTCCAGGGAGTCGGGTTTGCATCATGAGCACCAAATGCCTTATCTGCTAAGCTATCCCCTCATCCAAAAAAGTATTTGCAAAACAGTTACAAAAGCAAGAGGGGAGGAAGAAGGAAGCTACAGAGGGGATACAAAGTGAATTAACTGTAATTAATAAAAATAATTGATTTTTAAAAAAGCAAGAGTAAGGATAAAAAGATGGCTCAGTGATTATTTATTGCCCTTGCATTTCCCAGCACACATATTGGATGCTCACACCACAACTCTAGCTCCAGAGGATCTCTTGTCCTTCTGTAGCCTCCCTAGGTAACCATACATATGCACATTAAATAAACAAAAAAACAAACAATGCTTACGCCACCAAGGACAGATTAAACTGAGAGGCGAGCAAGCTAAGTACAAGACATAGTCAGAGATAAAAGTGAGACAGCAGCCACAGAAATATGCAAAAGAAATCCAAGGTAAAATTAAGGGGCAGGTTGTAGAGCACGCCTTAATCCCAGCATTCAGGAAGAGAGGCAGGCAAATCTCTGGGTTCAAGGATAGACTGGTCTACAGACTGAGTTCCAAGACAGCCAGGGCTACCCACACAGAGAAACCGTGTCTCGGGACACACACACACAAAAAAAGAAAGTTCTAGGAAACATTAGTAAGATCAAAACAAATAGCTATTTTAAATCTAACCTACATACATGTTTAAAATATACATCAAACCAAAACTGACCCAAAGAAAACTTGGACAAACCAAATTAGATTTTTAAATAAAATGGTAGCCAGGTATGATAGCATACTTTTATTGCCAGTACTGCCAGTATTGGAGGCAAAGGCAGGCAAGGTCTCTGTGAATTCTAAGCTTGGTCCAAGCCAGCAAGGACTATAAATTACTCCAATGATTTTAGCAATGTTAGGATACATGCATTAATTTAAAAAAAAAACATTTCTCTATATAAGAGGAACATAAAAGAAGGCTATTCACAGTAGGAATCACATGCAAAAAATAAACAGAAATGAATGTAACCAATATTCTATGAAGAAAACCAAAAAACTAAAAGACAGCATGTGCTATACACGTATAGAGACAAGATGACATTAAGACATGCTGTGAATCCACAAACTTCAAATGTAACAGAAATCAAACCTTCTGAATTTTGAGAACCCTGTCAAGCATGTGGCATGAAAGTCTAGGTAGGTTAGTTAACCTCTTGATTGTATTTATACATAGGCCAGTATGTGAAGAAGCATCTTGCCTGTCAGATATACTGTAAGGTCAAATGATATGAGGACAAAGAATCACATCTTGACCAACATGAAATGAAAACTCTGCTTAGATGAGGAGTATGGAAGCAACCCTCTCAGATATTGAGGCATACTATGAAGCCACAGTATACTACCAAATGTATAAAGGAAACTGGTTCACAGCTAAGAACTTCGTAAAACACAGGAAGAAATGAATGGATGTTTTACCTGTGCCAAGCACAAAGCTGGACTTTGAAGGAATTAAAGACCTAGATGTGAAAGTTAAAACTAGCCAACAAGAATGTTGGAGCTAAGAAAGATTTCCTAAACAATTTGAATCTACAACAAAATGAAAAACACACCCCCGTTCTGTTAATACTATTACTGAAGGACTCCATGGATAAAATATTTTGCAAAGCTAAGATGAAAATGAGTAGGTAATATAAGGGTTTCTACAAAGTATGAAATGACAGTAACTTCAGTAAGAAAATGAACAGAGGTACAAATGGCCTACAAGGCTCAGAAATTTTCTGAAAACCAGCTGTTAGTAGTTTGTTAGAAATCAGAAAATACAAGTAAAACAAGACTAGACTGTGGTTGAAAAGAAGAAAATCTACAAAAGCTGGATGCTAACTTTTGGCAGAGACATGGAGACATGCACACTATAACACTATAACCTAGCATAATCGAGAAATCTTGCTACAAAACAGATACAGATCAAGATTGTTTGCCTCAAAGAAGCAATTCTATCACAAAGAAAGCAACAGCCCAAAGTAACTGTTATAGTTCCTTAAGAGGAGATACAAAATGATGGGCATCCGTCCAGTACAATCTGTGGAGATAGGACCAAAGGAAAAGGAGGTAATAGAACAGTAGAGACAGAACCAGGAAACATTTCCAGTAAGCAGAGAAGATAGACATGGACCTTAAAATCAAGACAGCTGAGGAGTTATTAGGCCTTAAATGGATATGTAACACATGAAGTGATCTGTATTTCTAATTCTGTACATTTCTAACAAACTTCTAAACAATTCACAGAAATGGCTAAGATCTGTACACTTCCTGCAGACTTGAACCAAGTCAAGACACAATCTAATCAGATCTCTGTGTCTTAACTCCCTAAATCTTATAATAGATACTAACAGACATTAGCTTTCCAGGATCACACAGATAAACTTACATGGCTTTTTATAGAAAGATAAGTAAGGTAAAAAAAAAAAAAAAAAAAAAAAGAACTTGTACCTTTCAATGTATCCTGTTGGTGTGTCTACCAGACCATCAAGTCTTTCCTGAAGGGCTGCAAGAATCTGAGGATTTTGCATCATCTGAACAGTTAGCTGACGCGCTTTTAAAAAGAAAGGGGAGGGGCATTGAAAAAGGGATTTATAAAAATATTTCTGCTTTGTTTCCACTGGACAGTCCTATCATGAAATCTTCCTAATAGGCCTGTAAAATGCTGGTATGATGAGTAGAAATGTGTAAGGTAAGCTTTTCAAGAAAATCCAGCACTTAGCAAAGTCAGGGTTTCTAAGATCTTTAATGTACAGGATTTCTCTAGACCACTCTCATAAGCAAGGGACACAATACATTCCTTTCTGTGTCTATTATCTTGTATCTCACCCACCTTTCACTGTGGCCCTTTCACTATAGGTTCAGATGCTTCCCTACAACTCTGAAGGGAGTCAACACTTAGCAGAAAACTGGTACACTGACAATTTTAGGCAGGAGAAAATTTTAGGCAGGGACTGTCTGGATATTTTATATTTAATGCTTAATAAATTTGTTTATTTTATGTACATTTAATAGTGTTTTTTTTGGAGATTATAACAAAATTAAATTACCTGTCAGTTTCCCACATATTAACTGAGCAAAAATAGTCAAAGATTGAAGCCAAGGCCAAAAAGAATGTGACTAGTGACTTTTTATGATTATACTTAATTTAAATATACACTGAATTTATAAAAAATAATTTCCAGTTAGTCTTGGAGACCAATTAAGCTTTTAATACTAATTAAATGATACACAGCTGTAACAGGCATTTAGCAGCATCAATTATGGCAAATAAAAAAAACTTCTGAAAGGCAGCAGAAACTCTATTTTCATATTTAATCTGTCTAGAAATGAAAAAGTGAATCACCTGGCTACCCTAGTACTCTTGGACCACGTCGATCTCATCAGCA